GAGCTGCATTACCCAGGGCTGTGACGTGCAGTGTACGGACCGCAGGCTTGTGAAGGGGCTTAAAACTGGACTGGACTGAAGGAGCCATGACCCACTGTCCCTCCCTCCCGTACGGGCCAGGCCTTGCTCAGCCTGGGTATCCCATTGTGCTTGGTGCTGTACGCACACCATCCCACCCACTGCTTGGGTTGTCCCTGTGTGCACCGCCTCCTGGCTGGTACCCTTCCACCTGCAGTTTTAAAGGCGGGGGGGTGGGGGAAGTCTTTCCCCTTTTCTTCCCTACTCCCCCTTGTTGGGGAATAGAAGACAGAGCCAGGGGTGTGAGCCCAGACCACGCGCTGCTGTGTGACAACGGTCCGTTTTAGAGCTGGATGGAAGGGCGAACGTCTGTTCCATGCCATTTCTACTGTTTCAGCATTGGCTTCCATCGCACCCTAGAGAAGAGGGAATTCTCGGTGGGATAGGAATTCTGGAATATTCCCGAGACCGCTGAAGCGTCTCCTTCCGGCAAGGCAAAGCCGGTTTGTTTGGGTGAAGTGAAAACATTGGAATAGAATTACAGATATTGGCCCGTGGTTGATAGGATCTGCATGTACGCATCGGGGAACATTGAGTCGTGTTTTTCTGGCCTAGCCAAGTCCCCAGGAACTACACGCTGCATGGAAGGCCGATCTCTTTGATGAAACCGTCCCCAGAAAAACGCCAAAGTCCCACAAAACGTTTGGATTTTGACAGACGTGCATTGGAGGGGGGGAAACGTTTCCGTCCAAAACGCTCTGCCTAACTCTCGCGGGGGGCACCCAGGAATCTGCAACGTGGCTCGGCTCCAAGCTCACCTCCGCGTGGCTAGTGATGCCTCGTCCCTGGTAGCCATCGGTCCCCGTGCCGTTAGGGGAGTCGTTGCACGCTACAGCGGTGCACCGAGCCCTTGTGTTACACGAGCACGGGGGCCTGCCGCTCCAAAGCACGTTTTCCCGCAGCAGGCCAAGTTCTCAGTCCCTGGCTGTCAGCTGGCACGAGCCGCCGCCCGGAAAGGCACATTGTGGCCATTTCCAGCCCTCATGGTTGCCTGGGATTCAGGCCGGCCACTGGCTGTTATATCTTGGGAGCAGCAAGAGGCCAGTCTCTGCCCCAAAGAGCTCACAAGCCCCCCAGGCTGTGACCAGCCCACAAGCCCCACCCCGGTAACCCCAGCGGAGGGAGGCGCTGATGGGGTCATCGCTGTGCATTGGGAGGGACTCTGAGCAAACTCACCCCCTTGAGTGTTCCCAAGGTTGCCTCACATGGCCCTCCGGGGGGGTGTCAGGCCAGCCGTGCCCAGGGTGGACTGAAGGAGCCAGGAGGTCCCCCGAGTCCCAGTCCAGTGCCGCTACACACTAG